TCCTCTCTCTCTCTCTCTCTCTCCGTTTCCCTCTTCCCAGTCTAACAGCCTAACCAAAAGGGAAGGTAGAGAGGCTTCTTCGACTTTTGCTGTCCTTGTAATCGAAGATCTCGACCTTTCAAGCATCCCAATCCCTTTCTCGTGTCAAAGATCAGAGCTTCGCTCACTGTCTTCGAACACTTGATTGATTGGGAAACAGCTTCTGCATCTCTCATTCTTCAGGTGAAGATGAGGTCTCCTCGCTTAGGTTTTGAATGAGTTAAACTGCAATTGCTTTTCGAGATTTTAGATTTTTCTTTGATGCTTGATGAGGAAAGGTTCGGTTGGGTGTTCGAGTTAGCGGATTGGAGGGGCAGCAGCGTCGATGGCAGGAAACGAATGGATCAATGGGTACCTGGAGGCGATACTGGACAGCGGCGGGGCTGTCGCGGATGACCAGAAGGTGTCGTCGCCGGTGAGCGTGAGGGACGGCGGCGACCATTTCAATCCGACCAAGTACTTCGTGGAGGAGGTCGTCACCGGCGTCGACGAGACCGACCTCCACCGGACGTGGATCAAGGTGGTGGCGACGCGAAACTCCCGGGAGAGGAGCACCAGGCTCGAGAACATGTGCTGGCGCATCTGGCACCTCACTCGGAAGAAGAAGCAGGTGGGCATCTTTCTCGTTATTTGCTCCTCTGTGTTTCGCCGTTTTGGCAGCTCTGTTTTGGTGTTTCTTTTTCTTTTTCTTCTCTTCCTTTGATGATTGTTTTTGCGTGGAACGGATTGTTCTTTCTGCGGGATATCTGCCTTCGGTTTTCGCTGATGCTAAAACGAAAAATATGTTTTGATTGAATCGAAGAACCGATTGCTATATATATACATATATAGTTAGTAGGAAAGTAGGAAATGACACAAGAATTGTTTTTGGGAAAAAGGTCCAAGTATTATCTTCAGCCTCTTTGATAAGTTGGCACACTCAACTGTTTCTTGTTCTTCAAATTGGCAATCACAAACAACGGGAAGCCTTTTTCTGGAGCAACTTCAGGGATAAAATTTTCGGATTTTTTTTATAAAATTTTTGTCCCATGATTTACTCACTAAGTTCAAGATGATCGTGTCGAATCGGTTATAAGAGGCAGAAAGAACGCTGTCCACTAAGTATTGTTTGCTAAACAGTCACCTATCTTTCTATCTGCATAAACTGTCACAGGATTTGTTGACATGTGAGTTTTTGAGCTGATAATTTGTTCGTAGACCTTATTTTCTTGCTGTACCCATTCTTATATGATTCTGAATTTCTTCATTTTTTTGATAATTTTGTTCTTCTGAAGCTTTCTTTTTGGAGAAATTGCATCTAATGACGGACTACGGATTAATCTGTTGACGAAGCTCTATGTCTCACTCACTACTTCTCTGAGAAGCTTTTAACTTGAGAAATATCAATTGACATGTCTGAAACCCGACCTGTGCTTTGCTAGGCAGAGCCACGGCTCCTGAGTTCAGATGAGCTATGTACTTGTTGTAGGATGTTTAAATGTGTGTCTTCTGAATTGATCATGGCTCATTTATCTCAAACTAAGATTTTGAAATGTCATATTGGACCTTGTTCCATTGTTCCTTCTGTATGGTAGATATTCTTAGACGTTATGCAAGATTCGGTTTAAATATTTATGTTAAACAATAGTTATTCTCATTATCATGTGATGTCTTATGCATGCTTACGTTTTAGCCACTAACCTGATTGGAATAGTGCATCTGGAAGGATGCTAAGCAACAACGAACATTTGAAAAAAATGATTTTGCTTTGTTAGAACTAATGTTTGGTTGGAATATGACGTGTTCACTGGGTAATGTATGTAGTTCAGTCCCAATTGATGTATTAAATATTAAGCATATTTAATGAGAGAGAGAGAGAGAGAGAGAGAGAGAGAGAGAGAGAGAGAGACTTTTAAGCATCAAAATTGCAAAGTTGCACTAGTCTTTCTTTCCCTTCTCAAGCAAGAGAAGCAGAATCTTTCAGTTTTTCATATCATGTAAACATTTCCTGAAATTTTGGGAATTGATCTGCAGTTGGAGTGGGAGAATGTTCAAAGAACAGCCAACCGGCGATGGGAGCGGGAGCAAGGACGAAGAGATGCCACTGAGGACATGTCAGAAGAACTATCAGAAGGCGAAAAGGGTGACACAGTGGGTGAATTGACGCAAGGTGAAACACCTAGGAAAAAGTTACAGAGGAACTTCTCTGATATCCAGTCCTGGTCTGATGATGAGAAAGAGAGAAAGCTCTATATTGTGCTCATCAGGTACATTTAACACAGTTGATGTGTTGGTTTAGCATATTCTTGATAATGTTCCTGAAAATGTTTCACGATGGATTCCAACAAATGAAAACTGTTTGATGTTAGTTTGGTATCTTGAGCCATTGTTTCCAGCAAATTAGACTTTGGTCACCCTCAAAGGACATTTAATGGAGTCATTCTGCCTCGAAATTTTTTTCAAAAACCTGGAATTTACATTACTTATCTGCATAAATGGTTTTCAAGCCCATCTAATTTGTTTGTACTAATTTACATATTTTACAATCCTATTTCCTGTAGTTTTTTCTAACAAAATCTGAAGCAAAATGATTTGAAGGCCTTGGTGAATGTTTTCTTATATGAACCATTTCATAACAATGTTAGTGTTACTGCAATAAGGTATCAGAAGCAAATTCAGATCTCAGAATGTTAGACAAATTCCATATTTGGATGTTCATATGGATAAGTAATTCCAAATTGCAGAAACAGGTATTCCTTTTAGCGGCAATAAATTTGATATTATAAAATTCAGCCGTAGGTTCAATTGAAATTATCTTTAAATGTCAGTTCTTTAAAAGGCTATTTCTGCCTGCTTAAGGCTGTTGAAAATTGAGGCGTGTATATTGTAGACTCACTTTTCCTAGAATTGTATGTCAATACTTAGGTATGAACTTCTATTCGATAAACAAATGCTGTCCTATTCTTAACAATTTTATTTGTGACATAATAAATTAGTTATCTTCATTGTTTCTTCTTCAGTTTGCATGGCTTGGTTCGTGGAGAAAACATGGAACTAGGAAGGGACTCAGACACAGGTGGTCAGGTAGAAGGCATGCCATTTCCTTTTATTCCTCTTTTTTTTCTGACGGAAGACTGTCATCTCGCTTGGCAATTACATAGTTCTATTTGGGAATCTACAATTATCAGTCTGCATAAAACTTACAGGTGAAGTACGTGGTGGAGCTTGCTCGAGCACTCTCTATGATGCCAGGGGTCTATAGGGTTGACCTTTTCACTCGTCAGATAACATCCCCTGAAGTGGACTGGAGCTATGGGGAGCCAACAGAGATGCTAACCTCAGGCTCCTACGATGCAGAGGGGAATGATGTTGGGGAGAGTACCGGAGCTTATGTCATTCGTGTACCTTGTGGTCCGAGGGATACATATCTGCGCAAAGAACTGCTTTGGCCCTACCTACAAGAGTTTGTAGATGGAGCTTTAGCTCACATTCTCAATATGTCTAAGGTGTTGGGGGAACAGATTGGTGGGGGACATCCTGTTTGGCCGTATGTGATTCATGGCCATTATGCTGATGCTGGAGATGTCGCTGCTCTTCTTTCGGGTGCCTTGAATGTTCCCATGGTTCTTACGGGCCATTCACTGGGGAGGAACAAACTAGAACAACTTCTTAAGCAAGGTCGACAATCTAAGCAGGATATCGATGCGACATACAAGATAATGAGGCGCATAGAAGCTGAGGAGCTCTCCTTGGATGCAGCTGAGCTTGTTATAACAAGCACAAGGCAAGAGATTGATGAGCAGTGGGGACTCTATGATGGCTTTGATGTCAAACTCGAGAGAGTGCTGAGAGCTCGCGCTCGACGGGGGGTCAACTGCCACGGCCGCTACATGCCAAGGATGGTGGTAAGCATGCACACTGGTGTAAACTAAAAGTTTCAATTCCAATTTATTTACATGAGTTAACAAGTGATATTCACATCGTAAATGCATATCGAACCAGTTTATTTAGTGCAAATTGTAAGTTCTTGAAATTGTATTGTTACATTACCAAGTTATCAAGATTCAGTTTAGTGTCATTTACTCTTCTTTGTATGTCCATATCAATTAATAAGGAATGCGCCTGCACAAAAGAGAATTTACATTCTGATGACCTGTATTCTATTTGGTGATAGGAGGGTTATCCAATTCCAAACTATTTAACATCCACCGGGACAAACTATACAGCTCATTTTTCAGGTTTATATATGTATGTTATATATCATTGTGGCTGAGATGCGGTCTTTCTTAGATTAAATATGGTTGTTACTCATTTGCTCATATAAACTTATATCATCATCATTTGCATTCTTCAAGAGTTGATATTTCCAAGAATCAAACAGAGTCTCTCATCACAAAATGATTTAAGCAGTATCTGTATCTTTATAAAATCCATTAATTTGATAATATGGTTTGCATTTATATATTCCCTCTCCTCACTTTTGGAGCAGCAATCCTATAACAGGTTGTGAATTATGTTACACCTCATAATATTACAAAATTATACATTCTGTTGGAGTACAGCAGCTGAAGAACAGTTTATGAATTATGTTATAGCTTATATATTTCAAAACCATGCAGGTCATCCCTCCTGGGATGGATTTCAGTAGTGTATCAATTCAAGAAGACACAGCTGATGCTGATGGAGATTTAAAAGATCTTATTGGTGCAGATGGGGCTTCACCTAGGGCAGTTCCACCGATATGGTCTGAGGCAAGCACTCTTTCACTCTACAAATCTGTGTCACTTTTGGAGGACACTGAGTAATCCATTTATAGCATAAAGGGACCATTCCTGCAGGTTATGCGTTTCTTCACAAATCCTCACAAACCTATGATTTTGGCTCTATCAAGACCTGACCCTAAGAAGAACATCACTACCCTTGTGAAAGCCTTTGGAGAATGCCGTCCGTTGAGAGAGCTTGCAAATCTTGTGAGGACTATTTCTTAACCATTACTCCTGAAATCTTATTCTTTTTGGTGCCATGACTGTTTTAATTCAAAGATCATTGTTTTCAGCTTATCTTATATCATGAATGTTGTAGGAATTAGAAAATGAAAGCTTTTTCTTGAGGAAGACAAAAGAAATTGAGGTTTTATATAGCTATTCAACTCCATGGCTGAATCTTTATCTCTATTCATGTGGATGCATTAACTGACATATCTTTCAGACACATCCAGAAAGCAATTTTCTCGATTGCTAGTTTCTTCCAAAGAAAACTTTCTCTAACAAACCTTAATTTCTATGCAACCAAAAGTCCATATCTGTAGCAGATGATTTTGCTGGAAAGAGTTCCAATAATATTAGGCACATGATTTGAGTTTGCTTTTACCTACACAGACATTAATCATGGGGAACAGAGACGACATAGACGAGATGTCTACCGGCAATGCTAGTGTGCTCACAACAGTGTTAAAACTAATTGACAAGTATGATCTGTATGGACTTGTGGCTTACCCAAAGCATCACAAGCAGTCTGATGTTCCAGATATCTACAGGCTTGGTGCGAAAACAAAGGTTGTTTATGGATTATATGGATTTCAATATATGTTACTAGATTTGGTGATGTTGCTTATAGAATTTAAATTTGTTTTTTCGCCGTCAGGGAGTGTTCATAAATCCAGCTCTTGTCGAGCCATTCGGTCTTACCTTAATTGAGGTGTGTGAGTTTTATATGCTTAAAGTATTAGATGTGCATTCGATTTATTTATTTTTATGAAAATCTTGTAGGCAGCTGCTCATGGACTGCCGATGGTGGCCACAAAAAATGGAGGTCCTGTCGATATTCATAGGGTAAATACAGCTCCTTCCAATCTTTTACTTAATGTTCACAAGCAACATAATGCATCTCAAATAATTGGCACAATTTCTTATTTTTTAGTGTATAGTTTGAGACAGTAGATGCTGTTGACAAGCAACATAGTATATTTTGAGTAATCGTCGTAAAATATTTATGATGCATCAGGCATTGAATAACGGGTTGCTTGTGGATCCACATGATCAGCAAGCCATTGCTGATGCGCTGCTAAAACTAGTTGCAGAGAAGAACCTGTGGCATGACTGCAGGAAAAATGGGTGGCGGAACATTCATCTCTTTTCGTGGCCCGAGCACTGCAGGACATACCTTTCTAGAGTAGCGGCATGCAGGATGAGACATCCACAATGGAAGACCGACACTCCAACAGACGAGGCGCTCGTGGAAGAGGAGTCATTTGGAGACTCCATATGGGATGTACACGAGTCATCTCTTAGGCTTTCCATGGATGGCGAGAGAAGCTCCCTCGGTGGTTCCCTCGAGTATGACCCGGCCGAGGTTGGGAAAGTTGCAGGAGAGGGTGACCCGGAGATGCAAGATCAAGTGAAGAGAATTTTGAGCAAGATAAATCGACAGGCACCGAAACCACAGGGTGGTATCAGTAACAGCAACAACCAAAATGAGGTCTCAGGACCTACCATTAACAAGTATCCTCTTCTCCGAAGGCGTAGGCGACTGTTTGTGATAGCTGCTGATTGTTACGATAGCAACGGAGGTCCTGACAGGAAAATGTTGCAGCTGATACAGGAAGTCTTCAAGGCTATCAGATCGGATTCTCAGATGTCCAAGATTTCTGGTTTTGCTCTCTCAACTGCTATGTCCATCTCGCAGGTTCTAAGCCTATTAAAGTCGGGGAAGATCCCAGCCACAGATTTTGATGCTCTGATCTGTAGCAGCGGCAGCGAAGTGTATTATCCCGGCACAGCTCAGTGCATGGATGCAGAAGGAAAGCTATGTGCAGATCCTGATTACGCCACGCACATCGAATACCGCTGGGGATATGATGGTGTGAAGCGGACTTTAGTGAAGTTAATGACCTCTCAAAATGCTCAAGATAACAAGAAGTCCACTAGCATCATAGAGGAAGACGTCCAATCCAGCAATCCTCATTGTGTCTCTTTCGTGGTCAAGGATTCGGCCGAGGTATGACCATAACATATTTGTCGAGAAGTTACACCTAACGATGGCATTGTGTTGGTGGATGGTGCCTGACATCGGAGTCTCTCACTTCTCTAGGCAAGGCCGGTCGATGATCTTCGTCAGAAGCTTAGAATGCGTGGACTTCGATGCCATCTTATGTACTGCAGAAGCTCCACAAGGTTGCAGGTTGTCCCTCTGCTAGCATCCCGATCTCAAGCACTGAGGTATTATCGATCTCATTATAGCTCGAACCGGTGACTGTTGATAATGTAATTCTTCTGACAAAAATTCCTTAAGGTACTTATTTGTCCGCTGGGGTCTAAATGTGGGGAACATGTACGTGATCGTCGGAGAAAGAGGTGATACGGATTATGAGGAGCTCGTATCGGGATACCACAAGACGGTGATCATGAAAGGGATGGTGGAGAAAGGCTCGGAAGAGCTACTGAGAACCGCAGGGAGCTACCACAAGGAAGACACGGTTCCAGGGCATAGCCCCCTTGTGGTCTTCGCCAACAAAGGCATCGCGGCGGAGGAGATCATGAGGGCACTGAAAGAAGCTTCAAAAGCTGCATCTGGAATGTGATCAGTGATCGAGTATTATTTCCTCGGAGGTTTTTATCATCATCATCTTCTTTCGTGCTTTCTGTTTCCTTTTTTTTTTTTTTTAATGCCTCGTAATCGGATGCTTTGGGGGCATTACAGACTACGATCATCATCAACTCCTGATGAGAGATGTTATATGATCAACTCCTTTATAGCTGAACTTAGATGTCGGATTGATCTTAGAATGTGGCAACTGTTGGATATTGACAGGTCTAACTTGGATCCTAGTTAATATTAGATCCAATTGGAGCAAAGCCCATCGATTGACAGGTCCAACTTGAGGTGATCGAAGAAGCTTCGACAACCACAAGAACAACAAAACCATGAGCATCATCATCTGAGACTTGTAAGTACTAATGCAAAACAGAAGCTAAGTTTTCCGCAACGAAACGATCAAAAGAGTTCACATGTTCCACAACCTAGAAGCATAAAATAACTGATCGAGGAATAAGAGTAACTAGCAGACTAACACTACTCGGTTTGCATGCTATAAATAAAAGGTCGTTTGCCAAGCATCATTTCTTGATAATTTATGAGGAAGTTTCCTCAATAGTCATTCCGTCCTGCAGATCCACCACCACCGTAGCCGCCGCTGCCGCCAAAACCGCCGCTGCCGCCAAAACCGCCACCAAACCCACCTCGAGGCCCACCGCTAGGTCGATCATTAGCATAGCTTACCCGAATGTTCCGGCCATTTAATTCCTGATGATTAAAAGCAAAATTTCAAACATTGTTATTCAGTCTGAAAGTGTCAATTCAACATTCAGATACACCGACCATGCTTCAACCAAAATGTCTCAGCTAAGAAAAGGATAAAGATACTCTTATGGCTAACATACCTGACCATCCATGCCAGACAAAGCTTCGCTAGCTGATGCATCACTATCAAAGTTTACAAACCCAAATCCCCTCGATCTTCCAGTGTCTCTATCGGTAATAACTCTTGCTGCATCAATAATAAGTTCCTTATCACATCTGTTAGTAAATTTTATGACGATGTTTTACACGAGATCGTTGCATTATTAAATAGTTCCAACAATAACAATAACATCAAAAATACTTTTGCTATGGAGAACCATTTTGTAGTTTATAAGGACTATTATTACATTAGTTTACCACAAAATACTCATTCACCGAGTCCACTCTATACTAACCTTCAACCACATTCCCAAAGCTGTTAAATGCCTCCTTAAGGGATTGGTCATCAGTACCAAAGGAGAGACCTGTAAGCAACAGAGAAATGTCAAGGAAAAGATTAAAAGGATAGGATGTACATCAAAATCGTGCACCAAAATGCATCATGTACGAATCCTGTATGACAGAACATGAAGAAACCCTACCTCCTACAAAAAGTTTTGTTGATGACATATAGCGTGCAGAGTTAAGAAGATGCATAGCTTCATTTGGTCCACCAGCTACTCCATTTCTCACAAGTCCTTGCCTAATTAAGCCACCAAGTTTGCTGCAAAATGCCATCTTCTCCCTGTTTGTGGGCTTGTATGTTGTATCTACAGCAGCAGATGAATCAGCAAGTCTCGAGAATGGTGATGACACCATATATATCCATAGCATCGCAGCCACAGGCAGTATCATAAATATAAAAATAACAAATATTGTGTAAGACAATGCCAAAAACCAGAAAATTGTTATCAAGATTACAGAGGGCCACAGGATGGACTTCTTCTAGTTCCTAAATTTGATGTCATCAATCAACTAAACAGGCAATTTCATCAATGTCTAACTTGCTCCAACTAGTCAACTCCATTCCTAGTTTCAGTACCTTTCTTTGGCTCGCCGCTCACCTCATGCTTCTCTTCAACTCCTGACCAGCTCTCTTTGTTGGTACCTTATCAAGCAAATCAACTAGCTGCTTCACTTTGCTTACCCTTCCATGTAGACTTTCTTGACTAGTCGTCAAGCAACTACTACTGCTTTCAAACCAAAACCATGGAAATCATTACTTTAAGTCACCTAGACCTGCCTTAAGTCCAAGACTCAAAATTCTTACCACAAAAGAAATGGGTGGCTACCTAACTATACAAGTAATAAATCCAGAGTAAAATGTCTGTGATTTGAAGTCGTTATGGCACAAAACAAGCTATAGAATCGCCTTCTCGAGACTGGATTTGCAGACAACCACATAAGACATGTTCCATTCAGTCTTTAAGTTCTCCATGCGACTACACGGGAGCAAAACTATACAAACGTACTTCAGGTTATAGCTATATATTCTTTTATTCTTCATCTATTATTCCAAAAACACAACGCCAAGCCCCAATATGAGTAACATCAACAACTGCTCTCCACAATCTAAAAAGAACAGTGAGATCGCATCAAGATCCTGTCTTTCTACCAAGAGCTACGCATCAGAGACGATACCAAAAGGGGGTAAAAACAAAGAAGCTAAAACAATACTAAATAGAATCAAGCAAAAGGTACCATCTTTGGCAACACCCAAAAAATCTCATAAGAAAAAAAAACAAATGTCAAGAAGAACCAGCGAGAATAAACATCTTATGAAGTCGACGAGCTCAGCACCGAGGCGTGGCTAAAACGATGAAACAACAAGACAATCTATCAGGCCATAAGGGCTCCACTCTCACATCGTCAGCGGCGATCCCAACAGACGGACAACATCAGGCGAAGGTAAATGCCTCCACAAATAGCAAATAGATCAAAACGAAACCATACCTCGAGAAATCGCAGGGAGACGGGACGACGGCTGCGGGAGGCGGGGAGGTGTGCGGGCTGGGGCGGGGTTTAAGTAGAAGAAAGGGGTGGGCGTCGGCTAGGGTTTAAGCCCTGTGTCCACGTCGGCACGGAAATATCTGAGAGCCGCCTCCATACCTTTCCTATGCGGAAACCCTTGCCAAAGATCACCATACATGGTAACCTCTCACGTGCGTGCGCACATGCGGCAGCATGACATAATTGACCACCTGTGTATGATGAATGGTGTTATGTTTAGTTTGTATGCCGAATTGCCATTGGAAAGTGATACAATTGGATATTAATTTCCATAAAATGGGATTGAAATTTCACTGAGAACAACAGTTGAATATTAGCACATTCAACAGTTGAATTTTACTGAATATTTATTTGGCTTTGGAAATGCACTACTCTGAAAATTAATTTTTTTTTACGTTATGAGATTCTCTAAAAACTTATTTCTGTTATTTTTTTATACGAAAAAACTTTAGGATCCAAACTACTTGGAAAACTTTTTTGAACTAAGATTTGTTTCTATAAATACTCGAGTTTGAACTTAATTATTCTATATATTTATTTTTCTCGTATAATAAAAATTTATCAATACGTCAACTTTTTGATATGTTATTTATTTGTTTATCTTTGAATTTCTCTTCTCTATTTTTGATATATTGTTTATTTATTTATTTTATCTCTGGCATATTATTTATTTTTTTATTTGTAAATTTCTCTTTTAATTTTAATTTCTCCTCTCTTTTTAGTATATTATATATTTATTTATCTCTAAATCTCTCCCCAATAGTAACATATTAAGTCTGTCAGACATCACAAAGACTAAAATATGGATGCAGTCACCGGACTCCCACATACATCTCACATTTCCTATGATCCAGACTTTAGAGACAGTATAATATATTTTTTGGCTAATAGTTTCTGAGTGTGCATATCAACATCCAAATATGTAGTCAGTCACTGCACTCCCATATACATCTCACATTTCCAGTGATCCAGACTTATAGAGACAGTAAAATATTTTTGGCTAATAGTTTGAGTGTGCATACCAACATGCATGCAGTAATGCACATAAACCAGTAAATTGACAGTACACACATCAAACTACTCATTCAAGAGATCATCAACAACCAACAAAAGAAGCTAATAGTGAGAATCCTTTTCTCGTAACCACCTGAACACCAAGTAGAGAAATCACATAGTACATTAACCTCGTTCCATAAAGATTTCGCAAATTGCTACAGCAATAACCGGGTTCTACTCCGAAGCTGCTTCATCTATATCCAAATATAGGAAGTGCAGTCTCCACCAGGATACCTCATCTCATGTGCCAGTGCAGGTCCTTCAGGCTCTGTCCCAAAGTCAACAAAGAAGTTTGGATTCATGGTCAATCCACCTTGCTCGGTGTTCACATCAATCTGCAGCATGTGAGATCCCTTCTTCATGAAATCTGGGCCATAAAATTGTTGATCCCACACACTAAAGAGTGAGTTTGTCACGTACAGCCGCTTCCCATCCAAGCTCAGTTGAATCATCTGCGGTACTCCTCTAAGTCGATTTCCCTGATAAAAAGAGTAGTTGTCATTGTGACAAGCTATAACCTTTACAGTCCTATTCGGCGAGAATATGGTTCTCGAGGTGAAACTATACTTCTTCCATATTAAATCGTACATTAGATGCAATTCCCACCAAAGAAAACTTACAACACAAAAAAGTTGTCGCTTCTATTTTTAACACCTTGTCACGCTTCTTTTAGTCTTTGAATTAACAGAAGCATCTACCAAGATAAGAATTGGTTCCAATTTTCCCATGTTACCAGTTCATTTTAAAATGCCCACTCATAGGCAACAAAGGAATCTCGAAAACCTCTATAAGCATGTAGTTCATGCCTATTTCTAATCAAAGAAAAGAAGAAGACTCAAAACTAGTAATTCAAAATGAACACATGCTGCTTGCAGAATAATGGTAGAAATGTTAAATATGAAACTAGAATGTAAATATACACGGATAGAAGGTAACTCACCTTAATCACAGGTACACTAAATTGTGACTCCGCCCCATCCTCTGACACATAGACTACGTCACTTCCCTTATGAAGGAGACCTCCAACCCATACTTGTCCTGTCAGCACCGGCTTTGAAGGATCTTCAATGCTATACTGTCTAACATCTCCATGAAACCAGTTGACAAAATAGAGGTACCGATCATCAAGAGAGATGAGAAAGTCTGAGATCAGCCCTGGCATTTCGGGTAGAATCCAGTTTCGCACCTTCAGTGGCGTTACAGATATGGCAACCTTACAAAACAGATATTATACAGAGATTTCTTAGTACTTGGTATCCCATCGAAAAGCAGGCAGAATCACTAAAAAGCTAGAAAAGCAGATGGCAAAACAAACCTAATGGCTCCAGGCACCATCTGTGGTCTTGAAAAACCTCACCATGTTGCTGGGCAAACCACAGCCAACAAAGCCAGTGTCTTTAGATGGGTCATGCAGAAATCGTGCCTGCAAAGAACAGCAAATTTTTTCAGAATGTGAATATATTAGAGTTTCTTTTATTGAGAAAGAACAACACAAATACGGACTTCTAAGGGTAAGAGCCCTGCATTTCCAAGATCCAATGTCTGCTTTAGTTCACCATCTGGCCAGCTATAAACATACAAGTATCTTCCATATAATCCGTCTGAAACATGTTGTAGGTTGAAACCCTTTGAAAAAGCTGCAGGAGCTCCCCATGATGAGCTGATCATGGTCTTGTGACGTGGTTGGTACCAAAAATCATAGCCAAACAAAGGACTATGACCTGGTTTTTCCCACCCGTATGGATATCTGCATTAGACAACAAGGTCAAACATTATTGGCAGCAAGGAAGCAAAATGAAACAAATAAATAGAAATGAATATGAACATTCATCATAATGATCACCATAAGCGATTGTCCAAGCTCATTTGAATGCTTAATCTAAATTCCAATGCACTTTGATATATTCATCACATGCATAAACCAGACAACACAGGTATAATGATGAAAGAAGCACCGAAAACCGATTTGGATAATTCCTTAATTGAATGACAAAATCAAAATACATTAGGACCTTTAGTACACTTATTGCAGCAAGGACCTGCGAATCATGTTACTACTTTTGACAGTTTCTTTTTAGTTTTTATGACAATGTTCTGTTAAATTAAACAAAAGATGCTTTTGAACTTCACAATAACATTCTCCAACACCACTCATACAGTTAGAACTTACCACTGAAGCATCTTCTACAAAATCAGAAGAACCCAGGTGATCAGGATTCATTTTCTATGATACTAATTCTTATGAGAGCGATTTATTGTTATTCTGTTCTGTTCTGTGCTCAATCAATAGCCAAGATGGACCCCCAATCACAAAATCATGAATTTCAAATTCAAGCAGACATCAGCCTTTTTTCATTAAGATTCTCAAGATTCTACCTTCAGGGGATTGCCAATTTAAACAAGAACAGTTATCTATTATTTGGGGAGTTTATCATATACAATATAAATCATATACAATGCAAGCCAATCAGAGTACTGGTTGGCTCATGGCCACTCGAATAATCAGTGCTTTATCAATGAATATTTCCTCAGATGGAAGGATAAAACATTCTAAAGCAGAAAGTGTATTTGAAAAATCCTTATAATGATTTTTCAGATCAATTTCTGAGGAAAAGACTTAGCAAGTAACCAAAAACATCAGTGGCTTTGAGAGGGTTAAAACCAAGAAATATATGTACTAAACAAACTAAGTCTAGATATTATTAAAACATACTAAGGTAGATGCCTAGATTTCAAGTTTCAAATTAAAGAGAACAATGAACACCACACCTTCCTTTCACACAGAAATCTGAATCAAGAAGCAGGAAGCCATTCCCCGTTGCATTTCCTTCTTTATCTCCAAGGCAAGACACCATTATATCACCAGATCCAAGGCAATGAGAGGTATGACGATATGCTAGCCCAGTCATTTGCAGAATATCTGTGGGATCAACAACCTTATGCAATGATGGAGCTCTTGAAGTTTTTGTAGTGTCAACAACATATATGCGACTGGATCTGAAAAATACAAAAATGATTAGGCCCGTTGATTAAAAATATATGAATGGTAGATAATACGGCAGGTAGCTTAGGAGTGCTATCCGGTGTAGTTCCAAACCAGCCATCACAAGCAGGACTCATATATATATATACATATACATATACATATAC